AACTCTTGAAAAAAAAAATCAAGAAGAAGCTCATTAATTATGAAGTTACACTGAAACACTTTTAAACAATGCGTCGAGTGTGGCTGTAGAATGGACAAAAAAGTGAACGAAAAAAACAACAACAAAATTGAAAACGTGTACGAAAGCAGAGGGGAGAAATTATGAAAAATAAAATAGTTTTTCCTTTTTGTGGTATGCCGCGCCATTCTGCCCTTTTTGCGTTTTTAATGAAGAATGTTCGTCATTACAGTATTACGACCATTACAAGGATTTAAATAAACGAGAATTCAAAGCCACAATTATGCGCCATGACGGAAACTATGGACGCGGAGAAAAACTATAACGTTCTGCCTCCCTACGTTTTCCAAACGACTCCATAACTCTTCTTTGTACCAGAATCTATCATGGTAACCCAGTTAGTTGTTTTTGTTGGTAAACTGAATTTAAGGTAATTTTGCATCTAGATTAGATTTTTATAGAACATCATTAAAAACCGAAAGAGAGGGGGAGGGAGACGTTCGTAAAAAAATGAGATGATAGCGGCCAAAATAAATTCAAGGATATGCAACAAAATACCGTTTGAGGTTTTCATTGACCTACTACGATGGATGGATGTGTATTAAATTTCAATTTACGTATATTCAAGGATTTATCTATTGGCGCTAATTAAAATTGGTTATCTAAAAAACATAATCCTTGTATATAAGTAAATGATTCAATGATTAACACTAGAAGGCGCATGGAAAAGTAGTCAATATTAATGTTTTTGATCAGTACATATATATAAAACGCATATATATTCATGGTATGCATATATACAGAAAAATAATGGGGAGGACAAGCATCATTTATATGTTGTACAAAAACGTCAAACACAATGACTGCTTCAGGCCATCTAGTGATTAAAGTTGCGTAAACACACATACTGAGGCTTACATATAAAATATTGTAATTTTATATGTAAGCCTCAGTGGCTCTAAGGCTGGGGGTGTAAACTCAGTCTTAAAGTTAATGAGGATATATGAAAAAAAAATTGAATGATGTTGACCCCCAAACTTTATTTGGCTGGAAGCTGTGTCTACTTTAGTGTAAAATATGTGTAAAAACAGGTTGAGGCGAACTAGTTTTTTTATGTTCTCTAACGATTTGTGACTAAGTCACTCATTTCACGGTCTTCGTGTCAAAGTAAGACTACAAGTCTACAAAATGGGGACTACGTCTCTTATGATGCTGAAATTTTGATTTATAGGATTGTTGTACTCGAGAATCTGAGTAATTTGATATATATTCAAAGGTGAAGATTTTGTGCGATCAAATTTCTAAAAAACCTATTTTTCCGGCGACATTTTTATATCTGTCATTTGATTCATATGGCTTATTGATCGCGGGTACAATAAGCTTTTTTACGTTCGGGATAAAATAAAATTATCTTCGTGAAAATCCATTTAATAGAAAGGCGGGAACTGGCATGCAAAAAAAAAAAAAAAGAAAAAAAATATTTTTGGAAATATCGCGGATTTAATTGCTGATTCTGTGGATCATTTCGGAGATGTACCCCATTTATCTCAAAAATAGGGTGAGTTACTACATTCAAGGTTTTTAAATATTTATATGTATATTTTAAAATTCCCTCAATGTTTCGATTTTTTTAACTGAGCTTTTTATACCCTACACAACTATGTTGTCAGGGTATTATAGCTTTGTTCAGCCCCAAGAGTTTGTAACGCCGCGAAATATTGGTCCTAGACCCACCTTTAAGTATACCGATCGTGATATCTCGACTAGCTGAGTCGATCTAGACATGTGTGTCCGTCCGTCTGTCCATTATAATTTGTAAACACGATACAGGCCACAGCTATGGACCAATCTTCACGAAATTTTGCATGTTGGATGGGTTCTGGCCAATAAAGACCCCTATTGGTTTTGGTAAAGATCGGTTAATATTTAGGGGATGAAATGGGCCAAATACTTAATTTTTATCGGTTTTTCTGGTCGCTCTAGAGGCCGCGATTCTGACCCAAACATCGCGAATTTGTACACAGAGAAGGGGATCGGGCCAAAGAATAAGCTTGCCTGTTTTGATAAGGATCGGTCAATATTTAGCGGGTCAAATGGACTTTTGTGTGAAAAATTACAACATTTGTATTCTATAGAGTATAGATTTACCCCTGAAGGACATAGACCCGAAAAGTTTTTGGTGTATTCAAGGGCAGTGGTTGACCTTTAAATTGATACCAATTATATGGTCGTATGTACTCAGATGTGGGAGTTACACTTAAACATTTACAGGTGCTTATGTATTCAGATATTATTTAGTAACCCTTTACCACACTAGAGGGCGGAAATATAGCGCTGTTCGCTTTAAAATGTTCCATGAAGTTCCAGTTATGGTCTAGGATAACGCCTTAAATTTTCGGTGACGATCAGATAATTATAGTGTGATGAAGTGGACCGAAAACTTTATTTTTTTTTTCGAGTCGATCTATAGGCTCCAATGGGAATAAGAACATCACAACATCACAAGGGAAGGGAATCTGGACAAGTAATTAGAAGGGCTGTACTGAACATTAGTAATAATTGTCGGCCTCTAGTTGGTCCAGATGGTTCAAATATCGCGAAATATTGCCCAAGCTCAGAATATAGATCCACAGAAAGTTAGTTTTTCGTGGATGTTGTGTAGGGTATCATATGGTCGGCCCCGTCCGACTATACTGCTCCGCTCACTGGTTTATAAATAAGTAAACGAACTCAAATTTTTCTTTCGATTTTTTCCAAATTCATGGTCAACATCACACAATTTTGTTCCCATTTCGGCATCAGATTCGGAAACTTGTACGTAGTTTCCGCGAATTCAGAAACACTTTAGCAACACTGACAAAAGTTGATTGAGAAAAAATGTTAGACTTTGTTTAAAAAAATGCTAATGTGTCAGAAAAAAACTGCTAAATAAATTATTATATAAAGAAATATCATATAAATATCTGACTGTACGTCTCCGCTCACTGGCTAAGCATTGGAAAATAAAATTCATACGGAAGCTTCAAATCTGATATCGAAAAATTATATTAAAATTTTTATAAAAGTACGAAAAATGTGGGTCTTTTGTGTCGTAACAAACTTTTTATAATGGTATACAATATAGTGTCCACTGGAATTGCACTTTTCGAAAATTAATATTGTGCCTTATTTTTTCGAAATTTGAAAACCTGACAATAATATTCGAAAAAAATGTTGTTTTTTCAAAAAAATTTCACAGAATTGGAATTTTTGAATTTCGAAAAAAAAATGAAAGTAATACTGAATTAAGTTAATCTTGTGCTCAATTGCGCCGTTAACTTTTTTTATATCATGCATGATTTTCTAAAAAAAAACGATATTTTCGAATGTATGTTAAAATTGCGATTTTCGAATTTCAAAAAAAAAAAAGAAAGAAAGTTGTGCGGAATTAAGCACATCTTTTGCTCAATTGTACCAATTAATTTTTTTCTCTATCTCTTATCATTTTCGAAAAACTGCATTTTTGGAACATGTGCCAGAATTACAATTTTCGAATTTTGAAAAAAAATTGTACTGAATTGTGCTTTGCAGACATAATTAATTTTCAATATTTGTAACCATTTTTGAGTTATTGCAATTTAAAGAGACAATTGAGGACAAGATGTGCATAATTCAGCACAACTTTCATTTTTTCGAAATTCGAAAATTATAATTATGTGAACATTTTTTGAAAAAATTGTTTTTTGGAATATCTTTGTCAATTCCGCACAATACTAGCACAACATTATTTTTTCGAAAATTGCAATTCCAACCGACAACATTTGGTATACTGTATTTATTTTAAATGTTTTGAACATCACTGTAGCATGTTCGTCAATTTTTGTTCTTTATTGGGACATTACCAAAAGAACTCGTTCGTTCTTCTCATTTAAAATTGTGGTTTTGTGACAACGGTGGGTAGTATGTTGGCGTAACTAAATAAAATTCTTTGGATGGACGGTATGTAGCTGATGTGTAAAAATACATATATAAATACATAAAATTGTTATAGTTGGCCGAAAAGTGATGCAATTTAAAGAAAAATTTTATATACTCAGGATCTAATTGCTGTTTCCGAATGAATTCCATATAACTCTGTCAGCATGAGTTTATATATTGAATACTCCATCTGAAGATGTATTTAAGCAGACCTGTATCAATTGCTTTTAATGAAATTTGATCTCAATATGAATTGTTCTTTTATATCGTAGTAACTTCAATGAACTTTAAGTATTACAAATATTGATTTCCATATTATGCTATAAATAAATATCATTATTCTGTTGACCTTTTTGTCTGTTGCGATACCAGTTACGAAAAAACAGCACTTTGTGAATACAACAGGGGCACATTACTCTTGCATAATAAATACAACTTTATTAGATGGCTTCTAATATTGGTTAGCTAGCTAGCTTCCACACAATACGCATACATATAGTTAATTTTTTTGAAAAAAAAAACTCTACTACTAAAGTGACCCAATGAAATGACCAGTATCGTATTTATCTAAAAATATTTCAAAATAGTATTAAAGTGTGAAATTGGTTGGCTGTTAGGTAGGTAGGACCAGAAAACTGTTATAATAGGATCACATCAGAAAACATGGCCAATCCGAGGTAATATCATCCAATTCATTCAATGTCATACGTGACCTTTACCTTTCGTATGTTTTGGTTATTCCTGTCACGTTTGGTGAAAATATGAATTAGACGTTAGACTATTAGGTATTGATTTGTTCATTTTGCACATTTGTATTGGTAATTTGGACAAATGGAAACATATAGGCCCAGTACGTTTATTAGGTAATGGTAGTTGCAGTTGGGTCATTCCAAAGAAGGGTAGATGTTTGCAATATCTACGTTTTAAAATACAATTAATTAACTTCGTCAACACCATAATATTTTTAATTCAACACCATAATTGTATATTTATAATTTAACTTATTTCTTATATTTTATTTTCAGGTAAGTGATGCATTTTAGTGAGATTGACTCCTACTACTACCGTGTATATTGTGAGTACAAAAAATTACTATTTTTGTTACTACGAGATTTTTTATTAGTATTTATTTGTTCCTCAATAACTATATTGTACTCTTCAGTGTAATCTCTTCAGATATAATGCACCAATGCTGGCGTTTATCCAATCCTCGAAACAATTCGGAAACACGCTTTAAGTTATAGCCCCTTTCTCTTTCGAATCAATGCACTCTCGATGTATTGAAATATGAAAAATGGTTTGTTTTTAGCAGAAACTTAACAACCGGTTTTCGATTGTTCAAAAGCTCCTGAGCGATTTCCATGCGGCGGTGCTTTTGTTTGGCATTTTCTGTACAATCTTCACTACCACCCTTTTCATGCCTAAACCATCCGTAAAATTGCTTGGCAGAAGCCGAACTTGATATTGGCATTCGACGATTAACAGAATCATTTTCTTTGCTGCTTCCATGTTTTTATCGGTTGTTAACATACTCGGGCGACCAGAGATAGCATCGCCATCTTCTCAGCTTTCCTTAACCCGGTTATACCAAAATTGATCTATTGTTCTCCTCACCAAATGCCGCGGTCAAAATGTCAAATGTGCTTGCGTATTTAAAATATTTTTTTACACAAAGCATATTAAAGTTCCTATTTATTTCTCGATTATGTACGAAGTCTAAATGTTGCCTCAGTCTATGGATTGCTGTGGTCTTCGAAGTTACACACAAGTTTTATTATTCGTTTTATATAAGGTATATGTTTTATCAAAGAGGTTTCGGATTTAATATAGATCAAATCGGTTATTCAATTCACTGCAAATAAAATTTACAAGTTTATAAAATATTGGCCCTTTTTGGAGGAGCTACCAGAAGGAGAGGACCGACGAGTCCCAACATCGGACTTTATCTAGGCTCGGTAAATATAATAGGTTGTGCAAAGTTTGGTTCAAATCGGTGGTGAAAACATATGCAACTGAAATTGATTATGTCGAAATATGTAGTAATGTCTTTATTTGTGATAAAAAAGTACGCCAACTTGGTATGGACCAATGGGTTACATCTTCGGAGTTGATCAGGGCTTGGTAAAGATTTTAGGTTGTACAAAGTATGGCTAAGATCCGATAAGTTGTGGTTCAAAATCGGACATTCCATTCGCTTGATATTAAATTAATAAATATTAAAAATGTTGACCACTTGTGGGGGAGGTAGCAGAAGGAGTGGAGCAATGGGTCCACTCCAGACAGACGGACGGAAATTTGTAACTCTACTCCAAATTGTCTGAAATGGATTTGGTCCAAAGAAACATGGGGCCTAAAACTAATATTTCTATGAGGTAAATTTTTGTCATACCAAAGTGTATATACCCTCATTAGCTGAGGTAATTCGTCGTTTCATGTTTGTGTTCAATTTTGTCGAATAAACAGGAATAAATTTTCTTCGAAGATTTGTTGGATTAGGCTCGATCGACTGATGTGTTGTTTAGGGCTCGAACGCCTATATCCTAGTTCGTTGGGTATGATAATCTGTTGTACCTCTTTTTTCTGTCAAATTGTGTAGTATTGAACTAAAAGAACCCTTTTTATGGAAAGGTTTCCATGCCATATCGAATGTTTGCCCAAGGATGCCACACAACGATATTGCTTTGTATGTCACCCATAGCATCACTGTGCTGTAAGGGATCGGCCGTTCACGACATTCTCCTTTGTGGTATCCCACCCTCATAAAAAAATATCCTGGTTCTGGGTCAACGTTTTATTTAATAGTTAAATAGAGGTATGTAGAATATCACGCCTTGTCACGCCTGTACATAGCCTTAGTGTATTTATTTTTAATTAAACTTGTCTTCTTATCTTATAATGTAAATATGTTAAAAGCTGGTCTATGGTTTGCAGTATCCTTGATTTTATATACTTCATTACAAATTCAAAGAATTCAATTTAAGGCCACCGAGAAGCAATTTTGTGTAAGATATACAACTTTTCTTACAATTATTGTTGGTTTATTTTTTAATCTTCTTAAATATGAAGGCAATTTTCCTTAGATATAAACCTAAAACTAATTTCGTTGCTCAATGCCGCACTCATCTTAAAATCGTAAAATCTTCTTAATTTTTTTTTGTACGTTTGAGTGTTTTTTTTATTACTAATTCCATAATATTTTATGCGAAATCCCTAAGAAATAGGGTATATTGAAAGCTGTTCTATCAGCTTTTAGCACACAGACCCAACTATGGAGGATGTGGCACAAGTATTTAAATGCCGAAGAGAGTGCAATTTCAATTGCCACTGACGAAACATTGCCTGACATAGAAAATGAACAAATCATTTGGAAAAAATATTCAATGTCAAGCCTGACATCAAATGTTAAATGTTTTTTCACTCTTTGGGCATCCTTTTTCATGTACATATATTTTTATGTTTTTTCTTTCGAAATTGCTACTTACATTCTTTGTCCAATAAATGTTCTTCCTTGTGTGTGTGTGTTTGTTGGTTTACCTTTTGTAGTACCATTCACATATTCTGGGAATAGGAATTCTGTGAAAAGAAATTTTTGAGGTTTAGAAATAAAATGCCTAGAGAATTAGCAATTCGTTCTAGTTGTATGGCATATTTTGTATGTATGTGTATGACAGATTTTTATATTATTATGATAGTTTTTTTATGCCCTACACAACTATGTTGTTATAGCTTTGTGCAGCCCCAAGAGTTTGTAACGCCGCGAAAAATTGTTCATAGACCCCAGGGGATCGGACCAAAGAATAAGCATGGCTGTTTTCATAAAGATCGGTCAAAATTTAGCGGGTCAAATGGACCCTGACTTTTGTGTGAAAAATTACAAAATTTGTATTCTATAACGTATATATTTACTCCTGAAGGACATATACCCGAGAAGTTGATAGTATATCCAAGAGGAGTGGTTGGCCTTCAAATCGATACTGAAACGGATCAACTCTATTTTTATTCAAATTATATATATTATTTAGGATAGTGTAAACACTTAGTTCATTCAACATTTAAATATTTGAAATTAACGGTCACTTATGTAAATAATCTGTAAACAGTATCATAAATTTACACCACTGAATGTAATAACCTTTTATACAAACCATTTTAGATTAGAATCTTGCTTCTCATAATTAGTACCTAAGCTCAATCTAATTCCAATGAAATCGCTACACTCCGAGTCCGCACTCTCCGACTCTAATTCGTTTAGCGAACACAGAAGACTTAAGATCATAAACCACGCTAGCCCAAGTTGATGGACTCAGATCAAAAGCTGGAAGCAATTCCTAAACAAGAAGTAAAAAATTAATCTTGTTGTTTCGGATGAAGCCATACCAGCTCCGCTCACGAGCTGCTATAATACCAATTATATTGTCGTATGTACTCAGATGTGGGAGTAACCCATTACCACACTAGAGAGCGGAAATATATCGCAGCTCGTTTTGAAATTTTCAATGAGGTTCCAGTTATGGTCAAGGATAATGCCTATAATTTTCGGTGATGAACAGATAATAATTTTGGGATAAAGTGGACCAAAAACTTATATTTTTTGTGTGTGTAAGGAAGAGGTGCATTTAATCGGGAAAGAGGGTGAAACTATCATGAAATATTGCCCGGGCTCGGAATAAAAATTCGCAGAAAGTTGAAGTTCCGTGGAAGTTGTGTAGGGTATCATAGGGTCGGTCCCGTCCAACTATACAGCTCCCCTTACTGGTTTATTGCTAGAGTAGCATAAAATTCTTAATAGTTTGAATAAATAGTCAAAAAGTATTCAATGTGTAGGTAATGTGTTTTACCTACCCATTACCCACGTTTAGGACAGCTTCAAAGGATCTTGTTCTTTTTTATATGTCTGTGTGCTATTCTGTACCATATTGAAGTATTTAGCTTTTTTTGGAAATTGCGAAAATGTGTACTAAACGTTCGGCCATTCATCTTTATATTTCTATCTTTAAAAGCTGGCTATTGTACAATTCTTTGTATTTAAAATTAAAACACGAGCATCGTCCAAGCAATTTTGTTGGCATCATATTGGCTATAAATTATGGTTTATATATTTAATTAAAAATAAGTCTATTGTTCTTTGTTCAACAATTTTGCGTTAGAAATTTAAAGAATACAAACACAATACGTATATCAATTATTATTAAATCATTACACGTCGATCATAAAAGGTCAAGGCAAGTTATTTGGATATCTTAGAGTAGATAAATTATCTTGAAATATTTGTCGGAGACCCCGGAAATATATATATATATATATATATATATATATACATAAAATAGCTGAAGCCAAGGTTCATCCCTTTAGAACTCCGGAATTATTAAAGTACATGAGAAAACTTGAATAGTTTTGGATTTATTGATCTGTCGCTGCAAACTTTTCATGATATTGATCTCCAAAGTTTATTTACGTGTATGCTATGTCTACTTTAATGTAAAACAAGTGAAACTTTATACAAATTTTTGCAATTTTTAATCAAGATTTGTCCTAAAATCGCCAAACCCCAAAATGTGGACCGAAATGTTGACGAAATACTGCAATTTAGAGGGCGAAGTTATATGAGGCCATCACCAAAGTACACATGATTTTATTTCGGGGGTGGGGTGGAAGCTGCTGGTTCAATATGAAAATTGTCATTGCAGAAAAAACATTTCTATGTGTAGGTTTCTGGAAGATATTACATCGTGTAGGAGTTGGAGTTGTAATTATTTGAGTTTATATGCATAATATGCATATAAACTCTTCACGCTAAATATCAAAAATTTCGAAAATTGGTAGTTATCGTAATATGGGGATAAACCTAACTGGGTGCCAATATATTTCATTCTCGAAAGTTAGTATGATATGGGATAAACCCATAACGCGGAACAAATCAGATAACCATTTTAATAAGTAAGGAATGTAGTAAAATCGGACTGGGCCGTATACATGATACCTTTCATATTTTACATATGCAGGTCAATGTTCCCTCGAAGGAACATACT